CCCCCCCCCCCCCCCGGTCCCCAGGCCCTGGTGAGAAGGACCCAGCTCCCCCAGGGGAAAATTCACTCTCCAGAATAAATGGGGTCAGGGAAGCTCTGCACAGGAGTGAATGTCACCCAGAGAACAGCAACCATGGGACTCCACTGGCTTCCCCACCTGCTTAATGTCCTTCACTCCATCTTCGTCACCCAGCTCCAGCTGCTTCTGCCTGCCCTGCCATGACTGGCCTCTGCTTCCCATGCTGGGTTTTCGAGGAGGCTGCTCTCCCTGTTGAGTGACGGGCACCAGGGCCCTGCTGGATGGGGAAGGACCCAAGGCAGCTGAGAAAAAGCATCCAGAAGTGACCTCTGAGCAGGTGGGAGCCGGAATCAGTGGGACTAAAGCCAGTGGGGGAACCAGGGCAAGAGGACAAGGGAAATGATGGAGTCTTTTGAACAGTGGTTAACCCCTCTGCAGGAAGCCAGATAGGAGAAGGTCCCAAGAGAAAGGTGTGAGGGCACAAGGCCGAGCAGTTGAGCGCAATAATTGATGCAGAGGTAGTTTGTCCTGGGATGGAGGCTGGGCACATTGCACCCTTGGGATGGAGCCAGCTCTGCAGACCAGATGGACGAGGGATGTTTGAGGAGCTCAGAGGCCCAGGTGAAGGCCAGAGGAGCTCAGTGTGATACTAGGGCTAAGTTTAGACTACACGCCTTTTTTGACGGAGGCTTTGTCCACAGAAGAGCATCTAGACTACAACCAGTTCTGTTAAAACAGCAAGCCACTTTTTCAAAAGAGAGTGTAGACGCTCTCTTTCAAAAAAACACAGTGTGCATGCAGTAGCGTCTTTTTTTGACAGAACTCTGTTGAAAAAAGGCATTATTCCTCATAAAATGAGGTTTACCGCTGTCGACATAACTGCTGCATTCTGTCTACTTACTGTTGGCAGAACGTGGCGGTAACGTAGACCCGGGTATACCTTTGTCAACAAAAGTCCACTTTGTGAAGAAGGGATCTCACCTTCCCCAGCCACCCCTAGAGCTGCAAACGCAGCTGATCCAGGAAGCCAGAGCATCCACAGAGCAAGTTTCCCCTGCTGCACAGACCCTGCAACTGCCCTGCTCACACAGACCCTGGAAGGAGCAGAGAGACAGCTCCACACACTGAATGACCAGGCCTCCTCTCCAGGCTACTGCTTTAACAGAGACTTGAAAGCTGCAAAGAGCCTGCAATAAGGGGACAGGCAGACAGACAGACAGATGTGTTTGGTGTGCCCCCCCCCCAGCCCCCATACCCAGCCCCGAGCACTGAATGGGATTCACACGCGGGCACCTGGAAGCCAGGACCCCTCCCTCTTCCACACAGCGGAGCTTTGGGCCTGGTTCCAGCCACACCCGTCCCACCAGGCCACCCTGCCTGCTCCATGTGGCCGGGCCAGCCTCTGTGCAGAGCCCTGACTCCAGAGTCCCCTCTGGGCCAGTGACTCCCATGGGGGTGGCCTGGAGGGTTCCCATAACCCAGGGGATCAGCCCTGAGCATCTCTGCCCAGGGATCTGCTCACAGCCTGGCAGCAGCTTCGTTCATCTCCAGCCCTGTCGGCCGAGCTCAGCCCCTCACCTCCCCAGCGGAGCCTGCAGCAGGGAACGCGCTACGGACAGGCAGAGGGACACGGCCCAGACCTGATACGGACATTTGAAAGACAAGCCCAGAGCAGAGCCCCTGATCCCAACCCCTCCCATCTGTACCAGAGAGTCCTGGGGCTGGACCTGGATAACCCCCCACCCTCCAATGGCAACGGCCTCCCTGCTCTCTGCCTTCAGTCTGCACTGACACCCCAGGAGCATCCTCCCCGGCGCCTGCCCTGAACAGAGCAGCCCTCTCTGCCGCTTCAGGGGATCTGCCAACTGCCTGGGCCTGGGGCTGCTCTCGGTTCTGTGTCCTCCCAGCCTGCTACGAATTAGCGCAGATTCCCACGTACTCACCGGGCAGCAAGAGGCACAGAGACAGGAGCATCGGGGCAGTGGGGGAAGCAGATCGGGATGAAAACAGCCCCCCAGCCCCCTGCATCCACCGCAAAATGCCGACGCTCCTGCCACGAGTCTCCTCCAGCCCCGCAGGCTCAAGCCGGCCCCGTTTCTCCAGCACGAAGGTGATGACGGGCGCAGACACCAGGAGCAGCAGGACCAGGATGCAGCGAATAGTCCATGAAAGAATATGCGGTGGCCCTGCAAATGGAAAGGGCCGTGGTGAGGGCCGTGTGCAGAGCAGTGTGTGGCCCTGCGGTGCCAGCACTAGGCCCAGAGCGTGGCTCACTGCAGGGGTGGGGGGTTCCTACTCCGTAGGCAGGGGGCAGCACAAGGCCACAAGTGAAATGTTGGTTGGATGTTGGGTGTTTCAGGCAGCCCCTCTCCCTGCTCCCAACCCCCCTGGGAGCAACGGGGCTCAGGCAGCAGAGGTGCTGCAGCCTCTTTCTGACCTGCTCTGTCGCCTCCTCAGGGCTGATATTTGTCACCGCTCCCATTTCCTGCCCCACACCACCAACCCCGCACTGGCCACAGCGTCTCTATTCAGGGCTGGAGGACTGAGAACGGAAGGGGCTGGTTTGCTTGTTTGTGTCTGAACAGATCTCTGAGGAAACATCCCCCCCCTCACCTCACCCAGACAGCCGCTGGCTACAGGCACAGCCAGGCCAGGGGGAAAGGTCACTGGGTGATTGTGGGGCCTGGGATGTTGGAGGAGCTTGAACCTTTTGTCTCCACCCTGGTCTCCAGTCCCTGGTGAGAAGGACCCAGCTCCCCCAGGGGAAAATTCACTCTCCAGAATAAATGGGGTCAGGGAAGCTCTGCACAGGAGTGAATGTCACCCAGAGAACAGCAACCATGGGACTCCACTGGCTTCCCCACCTGCTTAATGTCCTTCACTCCATCTTCGTCACCCAGCTCCAGCTGCTTCTGCCTGCCCTGCCATGACTGGCCTCTGCTTCCCATGCTGGGTTTTCGAGGAGGCTGCTCTCCCTGTTGAGTGACGGGCACCAGGGCCCTGCTGGATGGGGAAGGACCCAAGGCAGCTGAGAAAAAGCATCCAGAAGTGACCTCTGAGCAGGTGGGAGCCGGAATCAGTGGGACTAAAGCCAGTGGGGGAACCAGGGCAAGAGGACAAGGGAAATGATGGAGTCTTTTGAACAGTGGTTAACCCCTCTGCAGGAAGCCAGATAGGAGAAGGTCCCAAGAGAAAGGTGTGAGGGCACAAGGCCGAGCAGTTGAGCGCAATAATTGATGCAGAGGTAGTTTGTCCTGGGATGGAGGCTGGGCACATTGCACCCTTGGGATGGAGCCAGCTCTGCAGACCAGATGGACGAGGGATGTTTGAGGAGCTCAGAGGCCCAGGTGAAGGCCAGAGGAGCTCAGTGTGATACTAGGGCTAAGTTTAGACTACACGCCTTTTTTGACGGAGGCTTTGTCCACAGAAGAGCATCTAGACTACAACCAGTTCTGTTAAAACAGCAAGCCACTTTTTCAAAAGAGAGTGTAGACGCTCTCTTTCAAAAAAACACAGTGTGCATGCAGTAGCGTCTTTTTTTGACAGAACTCTGTTGAAAAAAGGCATTATTCCTCATAAAATGAGGTTTACCGCTGTCGACATAACTGCTGCATTCTGTCTACTTACTGTTGGCAGAACGTGGCGGTAACGTAGACCCGGGTATACCTTTGTCAACAAAAGTCCACTTTGTGAAGAAGGGATCTCACCTTCCCCAGCCACCCCTAGAGCTGCAAACGCAGCTGATCCAGGAAGCCAGAGCATCCACAGAGCAAGTTTCCCCTGCTGCACAGACCCTGCAACTGCCCTGCTCACACAGACCCTGGAAGGAGCAGAGAGACAGCTCCACACACTGAATGACCAGGCCTCCTCTCCAGGCTACTGCTTTAACAGAGACTTGAAAGCTGCAAAGAGCCTGCAATAAGGGGACAGGCAGACAGACAGACAGATGTGTTTGGGTACAGAAATAGAGGTTTGCATATGGGTATAAACAGACATGCTATTATTTGAAAGTACTGCTTGGTTTATCATTATGCAGAGACTCAGGGTTTCAAAAATGGTTAGGGAATTGGGGGAGCAATTCAAATTATCGCAAAGGGGCTGATGTCCAGCAGGTTGGGCTCAGCGCAGTCTGTCACCCCTAAGCTGACTCATGTTGGGTTCTCAAAACCATTGGCCATTGTGGAAAGTTTGAGCAGAAATAAGTGTTTGTGCCAGTGATGCAGGTGCCAAATTTGTGAGTGAGATCAGCTGTAGGAGTGGGAGGAGCTGTGTCCCCATAGCCCCAGCCTGCTCTTGGCCCTTGGGTGAAACTGCAATCCAAGGAGATGCTGTAGTTCAAACAGAAGTTATTCTGGGTCCGGTCTCTGGCCTGTGTGAGGCAGAAGGTCAGACTGGATGGTCACAGAGGTGGGAGATCTGCAGCAGGGGTTTTAATGGATTTCAGAGCAGCGCATCCCCTGTTTGTACTGACTTTGATCCTGCCTCTGTCCTCCTCTTGGCCAAAGCCCCAGGCTTAGAGCTGCCTCCCCACACCTCAGGGGGATATTGATGGACCCAGATGCTGGCTCAGCGACTTTCTGTGCACCGTCCAGCTACCCTGTGTAGCCGCGCAGGGAGGAAACTGCAAGATGCCCTGAGAGCTCCCCGAGCATCTGCAGAGAATCCTGCCTCCCATCAGTGAGCTCTCCCCGGCTTGACCCCAACTAGCAGCAGCCCCCCAGCGTCGCCTCCTGATGGTTTCTGATGGGGACAAACCTTAGTCGCACCCAAACCCCTGCTGCCCCCTCTGCTCTGCCCAGGTTCAGGACATGAGCAGCTCTGGGGTCTCTCTGCACCAATCTGTCTGCCCCCCAGGGCTGGATACTCCAGGTAGCCCCTCCTCCTGCTCCCAGGCCCCCAGGAGTCTGTAGGGGTCAGGCAGCAGAGAGCACCACTGCCTCTCTGACCTGCTCTGTCCCCTCCTCAGGTGTCAGATGTTCATCACTGCTCCCCATTTCCTGCCCCGCTCTGCCCCCTTCCCCGCTGCAACCGCAGCATCTCTATTTAGGGCTGTAGGACTGAGAATGGAAGGGACTTGAGTACGTGTCTGAGTCTAAACATGTCACTGAGGAAACATCCCCCCTCCCATCCCACTGCCTGGGGAGTGCCTGGCTAAATGCACAGCTGGGCCAGGGTGAAAGGTCACTGGGTGACGGAGGGAGGGGGGAAGGGAGGCTGGGATGTTGGAGGAGCCTGAACCTGGTCTCCAGTCCCTGGTGAGAAGGACCCAGCTCCCCCAGGGGGAAATTCACTCTCTAGAATAAATGTGGCCAGGGACCCTCTGCCCAGAGATGAATGTTACCAGACTAACACGGCTACATCTCTATCAGCGGGGTGGGGTGTGACATACGCTGTGATGTGGATTGAAGAACCTGCTCACACAATGTTATTTTTGTTCTCATGCACCAGCAGCGGACACAACCCCATTCTGAGCTCCCGAGGAGGCTGCTGTCCCTGCTGAGTGACGGGCACCAGGGCCCTGCTGGATGGGGAAGGACACAAGGCAGCTGGGAAAGAGCATCCAGAAGTGACCTCTGAGCAGGTGGGAGTTGGAATCAGTGGGACTAAAGCCAGTGGGGGAACCAGGGCAAGAGGACAAAGGAAGATGAAGGAGTCTTGTGAACAGAGGTTATCGCCCCTGCAGGAAGCCCAACAGGAGAAGGCCCAAGGACAATGTGTCAGGAGCACAGGGCAGGGCAGTTGTGCACAGTAATTGATGCAGAAGCGGATTGTCCTGGGATGGAGGCTGGGCACATTTCACCTCTGGGATGGAGTCAGCTCTGCAGAGTAGCTGGGTAGGGGGTACTTGGGGGAGCTCAGAGGCCCAGGTGAGGGCCAGAGGAGTTCAGTGTGACACTAGCTGTTAGAGCAGGGCCTAGAAGACAGCAGGAGGGGGAAAGGCTAAATCCTTTTGCAATATTTGATCCCTATTTCAAATCCTTTTGAAAAAATATATTTCCCCTAATTTCTTCCCAACTTTTGGTGGGAAACTGGTAAAAACCGAGGGCTGGGAAATAAAAAAACTGATTTTTTTAAAATCTCTACTAAGTTATTAATTTTTTTTAAATGTTTCCAATTGTTTTTTTTCTTTGAAAAAATGGAAACTTTGGTAAATGAAAACCTCATCCCACGCGGCATAAGGGGGAGGTCGACAAAGGGCTTTCATGTCGACGGGGGAGCGTCTAAACTGCCCCGATCTGCCAACAAACAGCTGATCATCAACTGGTCGGCAGAGCGCGGCAGCCATTTAAATTTAAATGAAACCGCAATTATTTAAATCGCGGCTTCATTTCCCTCTGCCGATTAGCCTCATCTACATGGCTCCGTCGACGGAGCCATGTAGTTTAGACACGCCCTAAGAGTCCAAGTGTGGGGACTTTTCCTCTGAAACCACTTGTGCACGCACCTTACAAAAAATTTAATCTATGCCACATTTCCATTGCCTTATTACAAGAGTACCATATGGGACTGTGTCAGAAGCTTTACTAAAATCTAGATCCTGTCTGCTGTTTCCCTGCTATCCTTAAGGCAGTATAACTCTGTCAAGGAAGGAAGTTAAATTGGTTTGGCATGATTTGTTCTTGGCTAGTCCATGCTGGCTATTCCTTGTGCTTACTGTCTGATTGTCTAATAATCTGTTCCCGTAGCTCTCTAAGTAAGGAAGTGAGATTGACTTGTCTGTCACTCCCTGGGTCCAGTTCCCCCTTTAAAAGACAGATGCCATAATTGCCCTGCTCCAGTGCTCTGGACATGCCAGAAAAAGCAACAGCTCATATGCCAGTTGCTCTGGTACCCTGTGAACTGAGGCACTCAGAGTGCAACAGATTAACAATCCAGTGTCTCAACCACTCAGCCAAAATGGCTCCTTTGCCACCAACTATCCCTCGGCCAGCCAAGGCCAGGCACCATGCCAGGGGAGAGCAGATACAGAGGGGAGGCCTGCAAACAGACCACCCATGTAGAGGCATCATGCATCAGTCATGTTCTTTTAAGCTGGGGTGGAACCGTAGCTGGCGTGGGAAGTGCTGGGGCCCCCAGTCTGGGGGGAGCTTTTCTTCTTTTGGCCACTGAGCAGTGGAGGCCTGGAAGAACAAGCCAGCAGGAGCCTCCAGGCAGAGGAGACCAGCGGGCCAACAACCAAAGGGGATTCAAACACCCGTGGGCAGCCCACAATGAATCCACCACCTCAGCCACTCGGCCACTTTGTGTGATGGGATTATGGGCCTGATACCACTGCCGGCCAGGCCTGTGTTTCTTCTCTACATTCACTTGGGTGCCCAACCTGGTCTGGCAAAATGGCAGCTCATGTGAAAACCACTCTAGAGGGAGAAAAGGTGGCTAATAAAACCCAGACACACCCACAGCCTGGGCCCGGCAGCCCCTGACCCAGCTGGGCTCCAGGTCGGCTCCCAGAGTTGGGGGGGTTCACCACAGGAGGGGGATGGGGGAAACCCAACTGTCATCTCAGGAAGGGTGGGGGAGGAGCCCAACTGTCACCTGGGTGGATGGGGGGAGCCCAACTGTCACCTGGGGGGATGGGGGGAGCCCAACTGTCACCTCAGGAAGGGTGGGGGAGGAGCCCAACTGTCCCCTGGGGGGAGGGGGGGAGCCCAACTGTCACCTCAGGAAGGGTGGGGGAGGAGCCCAACTGTCACCTGGGGGGATGGGAGGAGCCCAACTGTCACCTCAGGAAGGGTGGGGGAGGAGCCCAACTGTCACGTGGGTGGATGGGGGGAGCCCAACTGTCACCTGGGGGGATGGGGGGAGCCCAACTGTCACCTCAGGAAGGGTGGGGGAGGAGCCCAACTGTCACGTGGGTGGATGGGGGGAGCCCAACTGTCACCTGGGGGGATGGGGGGAGCCCAACTGTCACCTCAGGAAGGGTGGGGGAGGAGCCCAACTGTCACGTGGGTGGATGGGGGGAGCCCAACTGTCACCTGGGGGGATGGGGGGAGCCCAACTGTCACCTCAGGAAGGGTGGGGGAGGAGCCCAACTGTCACGTGGGTGGATGGGGGGAGCCCAACTGTCACCTGGGGGGATGGGGGGAGCCCAACTGTCACCTCAGGAAGGGTGGGGGAGGAGCCCAACTGTCACGTGGGTGGATGGGGGGAGCCCAACTGTCACCTGGGGGGATGGGGGGAGCCCAACTGTCACCTCAGGAAGGGTGGGGGAGGAGCCCAACTGTCACGTGGGTGGATGGGGGGAGCCCAACTGTCACCTGGGGGGATGGGGGGAGCCCAACTGTCACCTCAGGAAGGGTGGGGGAGGAGCCCAACTGTCACGTGGGTGGATGGGGGGAGCCCAACTGTCACCTGGGGGGATGGGGGGAGCCCAACTGTCACCTCAGGAAGGGTGGGGGAGGAGCCCAACTGTCACGTGGGTGGATGGGGGGAGCCCAACTGTCACCTGGGGGGATGGGGGGAGCCCAACTGTCACCTCAGGAAGGGTGGGGGAGGAGCCCAACTGTCACGTGGGTGGATGGGGGGAGCCCAACTGTCACCTGGGGGGATGGGGGGAGCCCAACTGTCACCTCAGGAAGGGTGGGGGAGGAGCCCAACTGTCACGTGGGTGGATGGGGGGAGCCCAACTGTCACCTGGGGGGATGGGGGGAGCCCAACTGTCACCTCAGGAAGGGTGGGGGAGGAGCCCAACTGTCACGTGGGTGGATGGGGGGAGCCCAACTGTCACCTGGGGGGATGGGGGGAGCCCAACTGTCACCTCAGGAAGGGTGGGGGAGGAGCCCAACTGTCACGTGGGTGGATGGGGGGAGCCCAACTGTCACCTGGGGGGATGGGGGGAGCCCAACTGTCACCTCAGGAAGGGTGGGGGAGGAGCCCAACTGTCACGTGGGTGGATGGGGGGAGCCCAACTGTCACCTGGGGGGATGGGGGGAGCCCAACTGTCACCTCAGGAAGGGTGGGGGAGGAGCCCAACTGTCACGTGGGTGGATGGGGGGAGCCCAACTGTCACCTGGGGGGATGGGGGGAGCCCAACTGTCACCTCAGGAAGGGTGGGGGAGGAGCCCAACTGTCACGTGGGTGGATGGGGGGAGCCCAACTGTCACCTGGGGGGATGGGGGGAGCCCAACTGTCACCTCAGGAAGGGTGGGGGAGGAGCCCAACTGTCACGTGGGTGGATGGGGGGAGCCCAACTGTCACCTGGGGGGATGGGGGGAGCCCAACTGTCACCTCAGGAAGGGTGGGGGAGGAGCCCAACTGTCACGTGGGTGGATGGGGGGAGCCCAACTGTCACCTGGGGGGATGGGGGGAGCCCAACTGTCACCTCAGGAAGGGTGGGGGAGGAGCCCAACTGTCACGTGGGTGGATGGGGGGAGCCCAACTGTCACCTGGGGGGATGGGGGGAGCCCAACTGTCACCTCAGGAAGGGTGGGGGAGGAGCCCAACTGTCACGTGGGTGGATGGGGGGAGCCCAACTGTCACCTGGGGGGATGGGGGGAGCCCAACTGTCACCTCAGGAAGGGTGGGGGAGGAGCCCAACTGTCACGTGGGTGGATGGGGGGAGCCCAACTGTCACCTGGGGGGATGGGGGGAGCCCAACTGTCACCTCAGGAAGGGTGGGGGAGGAGCCCAACTGTCACGTGGGTGGATGGGGGGAGCCCAACTGTCACCTGGGGGGATGGGGGGAGCCCAACTGTCACCTCAGGAAGGGTGGGGGAGGAGCCCAACTGTCACGTGGGTGGATGGGGGGAGCCCAACTGTCACCTGGGGGGATGGGGGGAGCCCAACTGTCACCTCAGGAAGGGTGGGGGAGGAGCCCAACTGTCACGTGGGTGGATGGGGGGAGCCCAACTGTCACCTGGGGGGATGGGGGGAGCCCAACTGTCACCTCAGGAAGGGTGGGGGAGGAGCCCAACTGTCACGTGGGTGGATGGGGGGAGCCCAACTGTCACCTGGGGGGATGGGGGGAGCCCAACTGTCACCTCAGGAAGGGTGGGGGAGGAGCCCAACTGTCACGTGGGTGGATGGGGGGAGCCCAACTGTCACCTGGGGGGATGGGGGGAGCCCAACTGTCACCTCAGGAAGGGTGGGGGAGGAGCCCAACTGTCACGTGGGTGGATGGGGGGAGCCCAACTGTCACCTGGGGGGATGGGGGGAGCCCAACTGTCACCTCAGGAAGGGTGGGGGAGGAGCCCAACTGTCACGTGGGTGGATGGGGGGAGCCCAACTGTCACCTGGGGGGATGGGGGGAGCCCAACTGTCACCTCAGGAAGGGTGGGGGAGGAGCCCAACTGTCACGTGGGTGGATGGGGGGAGCCCAACTGTCACCTGGGGGGATGGGGGGAGCCCAACTGTCACCTCAGGAAGGGTGGGGGAGGAGCCCAACTGTCACGTGGGTGGATGGGGGGAGCCCAACTGTCACCTGGGGGGATGGGGGGAGCCCAACTGTCACCTCAGGAAGGGTGGGGGAGGAGCCCAACTGTCACGTGGGTGGATGGGGGGAGCCCAACTGTCACCTGGGGGGATGGGGGGAGCCCAACTGTCACCTCAGGAAGGGTGGGGGAGGAGCCCAACTGTCACGTGGGTGGATGGGGGGAGCCCAACTGTCACCTGGGGGGATGGGGGGAGCCCAACTGTCACCTCAGGAAGGGTGGGGGAGGAGCCCAACTGTCACGTGGGTGGATGGGGGGAGCCCAACTGTCACCTGGGGGGATGGGGGGAGCCCAACTGTCACCTCAGGAAGGGTGGGGGAGGAGCCCAACTGTCACGTGGGTGGATGGGGGGAGCCCAACTGTCACCTGGGGGGATGGGGGGAGCCCAACTGTCACCTCAGGAAGGGTGGGGGAGGAGCCCAACTGTCACGTGGGTGGATGGGGGGAGCCCAACTGTCACCTGGGGGGATGGGGGGAGCCCAACTGTCACCTCAGGAAGGGTGGGGGAGGAGCCCAACTGTCACGTGGGTGGATGGGGGGAGCCTCCCCCCTCCGTCTCCTCTTTTCTAAGCTGAAAAGTCCCAGTCTCTTTAGCCTCTTTTCATATGGGACCTGTTCCAAACCTCTCATCATTTTAGTTGCCCTCCCCTCTCCCACCCTCTCTCTTCCCCTCTCCCACCTCCTTTTCCCAGTCTCCCCCAGTTTTGTTCAATAAAGAGAGATTCTATTTTTGAACACAATTGTCCTTTATTTTGTACATCAAAAAGAGGGGCTAGGGAAGGGTAAGTGGAAGCAGGTGAGGGAGGATTGGGGTATGAGCCCACGATGGGGAGGACTGGGCTGGCTCTGCGGGCTTCTGGGGGTGGAAGCTCTCCTGCAGCACTCCATTTGCCCCCTCTCCCCAG